ATAAACCCTTGTGTCCTCCGAGCACACCATCCGAGCCAGACGTGCAAATACAAATTTACTTATTGGTGGTCCGAAAACACCAACACAAGTCAACTTAGATCAACCTTGGTCAACCTGGTGGTTCACTTAGCCTCCTTTTAGAGATGTGATCTCTGGATTTTAAATGGTTTCTATAATCCTTATGAGTTATATTTAAGATCCCAATTTCAACCTCTTCTCTAAATCCAAGATTCTCAAATTTCATGTTCCATCAGACTGTCCGGTGATTTGACGGACTGTCTGCCATATCACTTACTCAATAGAGTTAGTTAAAATGAATCATCACTCTCTCCTCCCTCTTGGACCCACTTGTCAGCTCAAAATGGAGTCTCCAAGATGCCTGGTTCAGATCCCTCACCATCTTACTCACTCTCATCCTCTCTCTTCAAGGTGGAGAAAACAAGAACTAGAGAGAGAAATGAAGAGAATGAATAGAAAGAAAAGAAGAAGAGAAGAAATCTAAGCTAAGACTAAGCATCAACAACTCAAAGAGAAGATGAAAATCATCATCTCCATCTCCATCACCTCAGCGAGCTCAAGAAACATCTCTCATTTCTCAATCTCAAATTGAAGCCCTAACTCTTGATTTTATATTGCTTAAGGTGAAGATGAAGAGGCTAGCTACTTAATCTATCTCAAGTGTAAGCTCTATTTCCCTCTCACCCAATTATCCCATGGATTTCTTAGGTCTTTCTCCAATTGGGGAATTTGTGTTTCATGCAAGAAATCCCAAATTCCTTCAATTTCATCTCTCCTACTTGGAAGCAAGAAGAAGCAAGGCATTAGCATGGTCTTGGTGGCTCAAGAGTCACCTATCCACCAAAGCTAAGTTACCAAGATTCAGCTACATGAATTTCCCTCGTATTCAAGTTTGGTTCAATTCCCTATCACTAATTTTACTCTCCAGATAAAGGGCCAAACCTTAAGTTGCACAACCCTAGCACCCCACCGTACCCAAACCTCCCTAGATGATCACCACACATCCCTACGAAACATCACCCACAAACCCTAACCCAATCTCAAGAACACCAAACCTTTCTATGACATGGGTAATTCACCCTAGTAAACATCACCCACAAACCCTAGCCCCAAGCTCAAGAACACCAAGTCTTACTCTACTTGGTTAATTCACCTCAGCTCAGGACAATGGCTCACGTGTACTACACCAAATCTACAAATCCATAATTCGAGCAAAGTAATATTTTATATTATTTGCATAAGCAACTCATCTCAGAAGAATGGGTTATATGAACTAATTGTAGTTCTACATTTTGAGTAAGGTAAGAGTTTTGGAGCATATGGTGATTCTCGTCTCATTCAAATTACTAAGGGAGAGCATCTAAAGCTTCTTGCATTTGAGAAACATGATGGTAGTATAAATTTCTCTCATTTGACACGGAGCTAAGTATAAGTAACCTTAATTCTGTTAGACGGAACTCATCATTCATACAAAGGTTACGCATCTTGAAAAAACTCAATGTAAGCTTCCTCACCTGACTGCATCAATGAGAAGGATACCCAATTATCTAATGGTGAAGCTGAGAAGTATCACCCTAGGTAATCTATTGGATCAGGATACATATTTAAGACATGAGTAAGATTAGCAATAACATTGAACCGAAATAAGCTCCTATCGGTTGAACATCGTTGAGTATGAAAATGTAAGCAAATATTTTAGGAGGGAGTTGGAAAGAAAATATAAACTATAAATCAATGTATTTATTAAGTTAAATTCAAACCTCGGTATGAAGATGGTAAAATGGTAAATTTGAAATGATAATTGCATAGGTCATGGAGTTAATTAAATTTAGGAGAAAAGCACGACTAGTAGTCTACTAAAGTTGCGTTCAGGAACAATGGCAGACGACATTATATAATATTGTTGGGTGTGCAAAATATTTTCCTTTTACTTTATTTATAATCATGCCTAACACATTATAAACAAACTTATAACATCTACTAAATAAAACTCATGTACACTTACAAACTCTAAAATAACTACGAAATATTTTCACACTAAATATGCGATGATTACTTTTATAACTTTTGGTAACTCACTTTGTGACTTGATATGTATGGAATGAATAGAATCTATTAGTATTTATAGCCTTACGGTGGCAATCTTCTACACTTTTCTATATTTTTAAAATGTCCCTCGTGTTTATCTATTCCCTAAATATTTATCATTATACAAAATATCTAGATCTAAAGTATCCCATGTAGAATCTCGCTCGTGTTTCTATTCCCTAGATATTTTCCATGCAAAATATCTAGATCTACAGTATTATTATCTATAAGTACGGTAATTTTGTCTTATGCATACTTGCCATTTATCTAGAAAGTTTCTCACTTCAAGTTACCTATTTCATAAGAGATCAGGAAGACAAATGGGTCACACCCCCAATATTTTTTTCTACTTTGAGAATATTTATTTTCTCTTAATAAAATATTTTTCTAGTGTAGTTGCCTGAACCGTGACTAGGAGCTCATATTGGGTTTCAACTCTAGCCTACCACAACTTGCTTGGGACTACAATGCTTGGTTGTTGTTGTAGAACATTTAGTTGTTTCTAACCATGAAAAAATATTCTACTGCAAAGAGGTAAGTAAAAAATGTGAAGAAAATCATTTGTTCTACAAGGGACAACGTACTAGTCTCATGTAAGAGGGCCAACATTTCCAGTTTTCTTAATTATGAATTATTGTTATTTTTATGATATTTTTTTCTAAATAAATAATTGTCTTTATGGTTGGACTATATATACTCCTACCCTATCATGTCAGGCCTTCTTTTGTTCTTGTTTACCTCTACTTTCTTCGTGCCTTATAGATGATAACACATCGCTTAGACAAATTTATTTAAGGTTGATAAAGTGTGATTATTCTAGCATACAAAAGTATTTTGCAATCTAATCTTTAACCCTGTTGCAGCATAAAAAAACCTAGAAAGTAAATTATAGAATGCAAAAGGAGTGCTAGGAATCCTCGCAAAAAAAGGAATATTAGGAAGGCTCAATTTTTTCACTGAGATATTGAAGTGGTAGTACTCTTTATTAGTTCTCGTTGGAACATGTAACCAAGACTGGAACCAGATGCAAGGCTCGTTTTAACACGGACCAGTGTTACTAAAGGATGGTTATAATAACACAGAGCATATAAAAGCAGCAACGTCTTTTAAATTGTCATATTATTAATAGAAAACCAAAATAACTTAATACATAAAAAAATTAACCATGAGCCACCGCAAAAGAAATAAACCAAACCAATTGAACTGTGGTCTGTGAATCATTGTGTATCAATATTTTAGCTATGTTAGCCAAGGCAAATAAATATATATACAGAAAACAAGTTGGGAGATGAAGTCCAGAAAAGAACGGAGCTGCATTCATAGAGGAAAATTCTATTTTGCCTACCTCAACTATCACGAAAGTTAGCTTTTTCTCCATCAACTCTAAAACTAGAAATAATTCCCCCCTCATCTCTCATAATCGATCACTTGACCTCTATGATTGTTTCTCTCGGTGATTTTTCTTTTTTTTCTTTTATGTTTATTTCGGCTAAATCTTTGAAAAATTATAGTAAATCATAGAAAATCATAAAATGGAAAATCTAATTGTGTTGGACTCTATATCAGTAGATCTACACAGTGAACATATAATATGGTATGCTTTATAATAAAGTTTGTGCTGTAATTTTAAATCTGTGTTTTCTATAATTAATTGATAGTTGCAGTTTATCAAGCCCAATTATGATGAAATTTTTATGGTGAACTAATCATTACATGCTGGAAAAAGTTCACATTACCTCCCTCAATTTTCGTGAATGTCCGTTTTTCCTCCCTAGACTTCAAAATCGGGCAAAACACCTCCCTCAACTTTTAAAAACATTCATCTTACCTCCCTGACCCGGTTATAAGCAGTTTTGAAGGCGGTTTTGCATTTTTCTTTTTTATTTATTTCGGCTAAATCTTTGAAAAATCATAGTAAATCATAGAAAAATCATAAAATAGAAAATTCAATTTTGTTGGACTCCACATGAGTAGATCTACACAATAAATAAATAATATGGTATGCTTTAGTATAAAATTTTTGCTGTAACTTTAGATCTATGATTTTCTATAATTAAATAGAATAATTCATAGATGTAGTTTCTATGGTCCAATTGTGGTAAAATTTTTATGGTGGGCTAATTATTGTATGCTTAAACTGTAGTAAAAATTCCATACTTATTGGATCATGTATAACTTAGTTATAGATTTTATTTTGGTTTATACTTGTTAAATATAAATAAATCTATAACTAAGCCATACATGATCCAATGAGTATGAAATTTTTACTATAGTTCAATCATATAATAATTAGCCCACCATAAAATTTTCATCACAATTGGACTATAGAAACTGCAGTTATAAATTATTCCAATTAATTACAAAAAAGCATAGATCTAAAGCCACAGCAAAAACTTTATACTAAAGCATACCATATTATATGTTCACTGTGTAGATCTACTCATGTGGAGTCCAACAAAATTGAATTTTCTATTTTATGATTTTATGTGATTTATTATGATTTTTCAAAGATTTAGCCAAAATAAATAAAAAAGAAAAAGACAAAACCGCCTTCAAAATTGCTTATAACAGGGTTAGGCAGATAAGATAAATGGTTTTAAAAGTTGAAGGAGGTGTTTTGCCCAGTTTTAAAGTCCAGAAGGAAAAGTGGACTTTCGCGAAAATTGAGAGAGATAATGTGGACTTTTTCCTTGTATGTTTGAGTTGTAGAAAAATTTTCATGCTTATTGGACCTGGACTCAAGCGGTGGGTGAGCGACGCACAAGGCCCTAGCGCTAATGTGGTGAGCGCGAGGCGCAGTCTGGCGCTGGCCCGTCATGCCCAAAGAGGGCAGCCAGCCCACGACTCCACCGCGTGGAGTTTGATCTGCGGGAGGTGCGCGCTTGTAGTTGACCATGGCGACCCGTATGTTTTTTTGGATTTTATTTTAGTTCCTCCTTGTCATATTTCTCGCCGCGAGTTTTGTGCGTAGGCGCTTTGGTACCCCGTTGGTGTTGGCATGGCGGTGTTCTAATCTTCGTTTTAAGGTCGTTAATGGCGAGTTACTATCGTCGATGATAGATGATTAATAGATTTCTTAACTATAGTTTCATGATCTATGCAGCATATCGGAGACAGGATATGAATTTTAGGTCTAAAGTTTGCACTCTTGATTAGGCGATATTTTTGCCTTAGCTATAATCTGTATTTTGGACTCTAGAGTTGGATGATATATATGGGTTGCTTCTAGTTTTGCTCTGTGCTTTAGCCACTACGCAACGGTAAAGTCTAGAGTGTAGTTTCTACATTCAGTGTTTCAACAATATCATAATGATATTGCAATAGTTGGATGTGCTAAGGCAGTGGCGGAACCAGAACTATTGATTAAGGGGGGCCGGACAATATAATAACACCTAATAAGTGTGATAAATATATACATCGAGTGTATACCTCAGTAGCTTTTTCAATGTTTTTACATATGCATTCAATATTCATAACGGAAAATCACAATATTATCATGAAAATTGGGTGAAATGATAACTTTTCGTGATGTGCAACTGAAATATGTACAGGGTATTAAAAAATTTAACTGTGTGTGTGGGGTGCACGGCCCCTGCTGGGTTGTATAGGTTGTGATATGCTGCCGCGTTTGCTTTTGTTTTTGTGGCATGACAGTGAACAGAGGCAGCCAGGAGTTTCTATTTTGCACATTCATCAGTGCTACAGCCCCATCCATGATCTTCAACCATTTGTGCACCGGCCATTCAACTACCGTAGTCAAGAATGGAAATCTCCTCAATCAAACCAAACCATGGTCAGGGGCGGAGCTAGGAATTATACTTAGGGTGCCGGCCAAAAAGAGTCATCATGTAAAAACTGAGTGCAATCAACTAGTTAGGTTTCTCATGGTCACCGTCTGGGTTAATTCATTGATGGGTGCTCGCATTTTCTTATATATCCTAGGATCTAAGGCGCTATTCTTTCGGTAGTAAGCAACATGCCCGTTGATGGAAGACGTCTAGGGTGACTTTATAAATCTTGAGTACCGACTCAATATTTCGGAGATGCTCATAGGGAATATTTTATTATCTAGTTGTGTTTTGTATGATTTTATTATCTAGAAGATATTAATAGGTATAAATGACAAGAATTTTCTATATTTTGCCTCTTAATATAAAAAAAATATAAAGTCATACTAGTAAAATTTTTGTTTTGAAATGTTAGGGGGCATGACCCGTTTGGCCTCACGGACTATAGATAGAGTGGTGTTCTTGCTCTAACACGCCAGTTGTCTTCCTCCTCTTGACAAGCAGCACGGCGAGTGTCTTCGAGGGGTTATCAAACAAACAACTCTAGGTTAAGGTAAAGGAGTTCTTCGACATATTGCAATAGTTAGATATGCTAGCCAGTGACGGAACCGGGACTTTTGATTAGGGGGGGCCAGACAACATAGTGACACCTCATAAGTGTGATAAATTTATACATCAAGTGTATATCTCAATAGCTTTTTCAGTGTTTTTACATATGCATTTAGTATTCATAATGAAAAATCACAATATTATCATAAAAAATGGGTGAAATGATAACTTTTTTGTGTTATGTAATTGAAATATCTACAGGGTACTTAAAAAAAGGGGACGACCCCTGCTAGCCCCCTGGTTCCGCCACTAGTGCTAGCATAAGAACTGTTCTATTCATGGTTTTATAAATGCTCTTTTCTCTCTTTTTTCCACCAACGGGAAAAAAGACACAGTTCTTTTATTAGTCTAAATATTTGTGGCTAACCTTTCACCCTGCTGCTCATGAAATCTCGTTTTCATTTCCTTATGTGCAACTTGTGGCGTGCAAACTCTTTCAGGTATTCAGTTTGAGAACAACTGTGAAGTCGGTGTTTTCTCCAAGCTGACAAATGCTTACTGTCTGGTAGCGATTGGAGGGTCAGAGAACTTCTACAGGTTAGTGCTATATATTTCTTTTTGACTTGACGTTACAGTTATTGGGCTCCTTGGGTGGAAGTAGACGAAATGCCAACTCTAACAGTGTGTTCTTCCAATGTTTTCTAGTCCTTTGAGGCTGAGCTTGCAGATGCCATTCCTGTGGTCATGACCTCTATTGGTGGCACCAGAATAATGGGTCGACAAATATCTGAAACTTTGTTTTGCTATCTGGTTTATTCTCTCCTCGTTTTCACCTTTTCAATTTGTTTGCCTAGGAAACAAGAATGGACTTCTATTGCCACATACTACAACCGACCAAGGTAAGCGTTTGCTTTATGCTGTGATTGTTTGTTAGATCTGTTGTTATGCTGTGATTGTTTGTTAGATCTGGTTATTAGGAATCTGATAACATATTACCCAGGTGTTTTCACATGTATTAAAATCATCTGGTTATTTCCATTTTGCATTGTTCACTTCCGTCCATGTTTTATTTATTTCTCAAGTTTATGGCACATTTTTTTAAATAAAAATGCATGTGCTAGGAAATGCTAGTTTTCTATCAGCATTCACCTTCAAGATGATTTTAATACATAAGGATTAATAAGTATCATTAGATTTCTCAAACTAGTGTATAAACCACTTAGTATGTGGCACAAATATGCTGCCTCGTTTGCTTTTTTTTTCTTTTTTGTAAACGCTCAGATTTATATTGTTTACCTGCACTTAGCTAGTTTCCATGGAAAATTTTTGGGCCTTTTATATTCTACTGTTAGGGAGTTATAATGGCTCCAGCTTGGTAACTGATGCATGTGCTAGGCCATGCTGCTGCTTGCAAATCTGCAATGACTAGAATTCTAGTTTTGTTCTTTCAAATGTATATCTGTTTGTCTCTACCTTATCTAAGTGACAAAGAAAATGGTGAGGATAGGCAGCAACTATCCTGTCAGCTGGGTTGTATAGGTTGTGATATATCCCAGTTTGCCACGAATTATCTGTACTTATGTCCTCCCTGTGCTTTTGACCTCTTGTAGAGCTTCAGCATCTGAGGAACTGCTTGCCTGATCAAGTGGTGGTTCAGCGTATTGATGAGAGGTTATCTGCCCTTGGGCAATCGCATAGCCTGCAATGATCATGTTGCACTTACACACCCTGACCTTGACAAGGTATACCTACTTTGTAGCCCCTGAAACTTTGCACTTACTCAATTACCTCAAGCTAAAATCTTTGCGCTAATGCATTCAACAGGAGGCCCGGCAGCTGTGGGTCTCAAAGTATTGCCTCTGCTAAGATGTACTGCAAACTAGTACAACTTGAGTTATCAGTAGCACAACATAACCCTCTGATATGTTCGTGGTGTATCTTTGGTTTATGAGTCGTAGACTTGCGTAGTTGCGTTATTGAAGCTCGTGCTATATGAGTGAAAAGTGCCCTTTCCAATGTTTGTTCACCCCAGCAGCATTTGCAGATACTTAGCATGGACGTGTATGCTCCCGATTGAGAAATAGCCTAGGAAGCAAGTCTTGCTTTGAATTCATTTGTTTGGAGAGTCCAAATTTCAAGTGTTGCTGTTTTTCATGCCTTTGCCAATGTTTGTTCACCCCGGCAGCATTTGCAGATACATGAATAGCATGGACGTGTTCGCTTCCTGATCGAGCAATAGCCTAGGAAGTAAACCTTTGCTCTGAATTCATTTGCTCGGAAAGTCCAAATTTAAAGTGCTACTGTTATACATCCCTTTTCCTATGTTTGTTCACCCCAGCAGCATTTGCAGATACATGAAACATAGAAATTTAAGTGTTCTGTAGTCTCACATGTTTCACATTACACAATCAAGACACTGGCAGACAGACTAACTTCAGGAAGAAAAAACTACGAAATTTCTGTGAACACACGTTGAAATTAGAAATATGTTGCGCAAGGGATACTGATAGAGCAAATGGCAAGGCAAGTGCTTCCAGATGCCTAATTCCATCCCAACCACGGTAGATCACACAAGACGATGTATTTGCCTGTGAGCGCCATTACTTTGTGCGATTGCGGCACTTCACCAGGCCAGATTGGTAAGGGGGTTCCCTCGGCACTCCTGAATGCAGCTCGTAGCTAAATCTCTCAGTTTTTCTTCAACAGTCTCCATGAGAAGGGAACCATCGACCACCTTCATCAGAAACAAAATTAGTTGTCCTTTAGATTCAGTATCAAAAGAAGCACATCTGTGGTCTGAAGCACTATCAAAAATAAAAAATCACAAGTACTAAACACAATACAAATTTCTTCTCTGTTGTAGATTTCTAGTTTCGATGGGCCCCGATGGTATCCCAATCTAAGGTGTGGAGATATCTCGGGGATATAGCTATAGTATGGCTAACCAAGATGTTCAACAATATCTTTCGATCGAACAAGATGCCTAAGGAGTGGAGAAGAAGCATATTGGTGCCAATCTACAAGAACGAGGGAGATATCCAAAGTTGTAGTAATTATCGGAGAATTAAGTTGATGAGCCACACTATGAAGTTATGGGAGAGAGTCATCGAGCAACGCCTACGAGGAATGACGCAGATATCAACAAACCAATTTGGTTTCATGCCCGGAAGGTCAACCACAGAAGCAGTCTTCTTAATAAGACAGTTATGGAGCGGTTTAGAGAGCAGAAGAAGGACCTCCACTTGGTTTTCATTGACTTGGAGAAGGCTTATGACAAGATACCAAGAAATGTTATGTGGTGGTCTTTGGACAAACATAAAGTCCCATCGAAGTACGTGACCCTCATCAAGGACATGTACAACAATGCTGTGACTAGTGTTCGAACAAACGATGGTAACACAGATTACTTTCCGATTAAAATTGGACTTCATCAAGGGTCAGCCTTAAACCCGTATCTCTTTGCCTTGGTAATGGATGAGGTTACCAGGAACATACAAGGGGATATCCTTTGGTGTATGTTGTTCGCTGATGATGTAGTGTTAGTGGACGAAAGCCAGACGGGAGTAAATAGAAAACTTGAGTTATGGTGGCAGACTCTTGAGTCTAAATGTTTTAGATTGAGCAGAACTAAAACCGAATACATGACATGCAACTTTGACGGAGTTGTATAGGAGGAGGAGATGTGAGTTTAGAAGGTCAAGTAGTGCCTAAGAAGGATACCTTTCGGTATCTGGGATCGATGCTACAGAGGGATAGAGATATTGATGCGGACGTTAGCCATAGAATCAAAGCAGGGTGGATCAAGTGGCGACAAGCTTCTGGCATTCTCTGTGACAAGAGGGTACCACAAAAGCTAAAAGGCAAGTTATATGGAGCAGAATGTTGGCCTACAAATATTCGACATGTTCAACAACTGAGTGTTGCAGAAATGCATATGTTGCGATGGATTTGCGGTCACACAAGAATGGACCGAGTTCGGAACGATGATATACGTGATCGCCTAGAGGTAGCACCAATTGAAGAAAAGCTTGTCCAACATCGGTTGAGGTGGTTTGACCGTGTTCAAAGGAGACCTCCAGAGGCACCAGTGCATTGTGGAGTCCTAAGCCAAGCTAATAATATGAGGAGAGATAGATGAAGACCGAAATTGACATGGGGGAGACAATAAAAAGATATTTGAAAGTGGAATATATCTAGAGATCTATGTTTAAATAGGAGTACTTGAAAAGCAGCTATTGAAGTGCCTGAACCGTGACTTGAGCTCTTGGTGGGTTCTAACTCTAGCATAACCCAACTTGCTTGGGACTGAAAGACTATGTTGTTATGTTGTTGTTATGTGTAGATTTCTAGTTTGCACACAATAAATAATCAAGTAGTGAACACGCTATGGATTTCTTCTCTGTTAGGAGCTTCTATTTTCTGCACAAAAATATTAGCTCTGACATTTCACGAATATCACTGCAAACTGAACAATATAGGTATTAAATCTGTTTCACTTGCAATTCCAGACCCTTGAGTTGCCACATGCCAAGACCTGAGTCATTGACACAAGAGGCAAAGCAAATACAAGGACCTCATATTGGAGATTCTTGCAGAAATGGAGTTACCTTCCATGTCGAATCACGGAGAGAATGGTAATGCTCTGCAACTTTCTTTTGGAACTCTATCTTTTCATATCGCTCACCTCCATAGCCTCCTCTTTCAGCCGCTTTCTGTAACAATAGATTCACATTGACCATTATGAAGCAGGAGGATAATCCATGTATACTATTGAGGTGAACACAGCCTAGGTGACAGGTAACATCAAACAACAACTTAACAGTACAGACATCATTTAGCATTATAGACGTGTGGGCAAAGAAATTTGCTGAACAACATGTATTCTTTGCTTGCTGCCTTACGATAAATACTTTAGAATCAAAGTGGGCCGCTTTTAGTGTTCCAAAACAGAAATTATTGTCAGGCCATATTAATTGGGTTAAGGCCAAACAGCGGCCATCATCACCTAAAATGTGTAGGCAATGGAACAGAAGTCAAATGCATCAAGCAAACCATAAGCATATAACAAACATCAAAAGAAAACTAAAACACATGTAATGTTGGAACACCATAGGCTAAGTGTGTACAAATAGAATACCTCTGGCTGTACATCAAGATATATTACAAGGTCTGGAGCAATAAGCCCATTTTCTGGAGCCTGAAAAATAGGATAAAATAGGCGTCACTTCTTAGCTTGCAGCTATTGACATGAAAGAGAGCAAGTCATGACTCATCCGAATGGCACACAGCTCACCTTGCACCACTCAATGTCAAGCCCTTTAGCAGCTGAGAACGCCACGCCTGAATAAGAATAGCGGTCTACAATGAGAGTAGTTCCGCTGAGTAGCTTGCTTTCCATCAAAGCTCTGGCAAATTAACAGATTCACAGTTAATCTGCGCTTACAGTGTGCCAAGAATGCCTCGGATCGACAAAATAGTTAAGTTACGTGGTGCGAAGAGCACACCTACCTTTTCTCCCAGCGATTGGCGCTGAAGAGCAGATGAATCGTCCTATCATCGAGCTGCGACTCGTTCGCGAGGTAGGCAGAGATCATCTGCCCGACACTGGTGGCCCTGTCAGGGAACCTCCACCCTTCGGCGTCGTAGCCTTTGCCTTTGAGAAACGACAGCAGCCGGGCACACTGCGACGATTTCCCGCTCCGGTCCAGGCCTTCCAGGACCACCAGAGCACCACGGCCGCCCTTGCTGACCGCCGTCTCCATTCTCACGCCCTGGAACGCCCTCCGGCGCTGCGCGAGCAGGCCCAGAGGAGAGGGTGCTGTCGCCGCCGCCGCCGCTGTGCCGACCCTGCAGCAGAGATTGGAAGCACCGTCACCCCCAACGATTTGATTATTACGCGCACATATTCTGGGTTGGGAAAGGCATCTGGAGGGAGGGACCGGGGACGACTCGACTCACCTGCTCCAAGAAGCTGCTC